AACAATTTTTCAAGACAGGATCATAAATATTCATAATACATAATAATAATAATAATACATAATAATTAAAATAATACCATGTAACTGCGGGGGGATTCAATAGCTATTTATTGCTATTACCATCTGACTTCAGGATCATAACAGTTTTTGTCTAAAGTTAATTATTTTCTGCCAGCGAAATTTAATAACTACAGCTTGTAAAAAAATGTTTCATCGCAGTGTTTTCACTCAGTCACTATTCATGAATAACTCCCAACGAAAACTCACCTGAACGATCCGTTCATGTACGACTCTGTCGTACGTAGGATTGGGCATGACGTTAAACATGCGCTTTTCTTCCGTCGATATGCTGCTATCGACGCAAGAGACTGGCAATTCCGAAGGGCCGATAAGATCACGGATTTCAGGATCATCGATCGAGCAGAACCAGTACTTCATAAATCGCCGGTCAACGTACTTTGACCAGCAATCCGTATATAAAGTTCGGTAGGACGAGTCTTTGAAAAAAACAAACAGGAGACGTGACGCAAAACAGACGGAAGCAGTATCGCACTGCTGTCTTCTTACCTTCTTCGAAGAGACCGATGTGAGCCAGCATGACCTCAAAAAGCGACGGTGCGACAAACGACTTGGATATCGAAGAGCTGGAATTGGACAAAAGAGTACAGATGTTGACGGCGAAGTCTACTTCATTCGGCAGGCCGGAAACAAAACTCTGTCGCAGACGAATCGCCGCATCTCTGGCTGTGTGGAGCGGCCCGGTGCCTAAGAAAGACAGAACGGGTCAATTGACATACGACATCAGTGAGTATCACCGCTCACAACATGTGATGCAAAACTTACTGATTAAGAAAGGTTTAGTTTCATCGACTACGCGATTACGCATGGACTCCCTACCTCGTACAACGAACTCCTTTCTGACATGGGGAATAAAGCAAGAAAAAACAGGACAATTTGTTGAAAAAAGACACACTTCTCGATATATTTATGCCGTTTATGCATAATTTAAGAACAGATGTCCTCACCTGCGCTTATTTCTGCCTAAAAAATAACGAGATGCGCCTCGTTCTCTGGTTTACGCAGCATCAGAATGGAATCAACCATTTGTTTCTAGACGTATATGGAGCAGTTAAGCACGCCATGGCTCTATGACATCTGAGCAGATGCAAGGGCAGACAATTTGGCATGATTTCAATGGTCAGATGATATTTACGGAGTTGGTAGTTATAACATATTACAGTATAAGCTAACTAATCGATTACTAATTGTCCTTTTGTCATTCTAAAACAGATATTTAAATTAGCTTAATGTCCCTTGCATCGACGAGTTTTGTCCATAGTGTAAAAGTTAGCATAAAATAATTAGTATGAAATACACCGTAAAAGAAATTATATACAAATCCCGTTCAATTAAAAAAGGTACCAGGTTACTTCACTGACAGAACACTGTGCAGTTTTAATGCGTTTCCATAAAACGCCAAACATTGTAAGTCAGAAATAGTAAATCTCGTCAGTAAATCGTGATGCACCATCCAAGCAGCGTAGATCACAGCGTAAAATAAGAACCAATAAATTAAATGGTTGAAACTGAAACAAGGGTAGTGACAAAAAAACGAAAATAAATCATTTACGTCATATTTAATACAACAAAGTTAAGGTTAAGTACACTCTTAACATCATTACGTTATGCACTTATCATTTCAGCGCCGAAATCTTCATACGCTTATTTATGTCTGAAAGTGGAGATGAATTTGCAGGAATATAATGGCAAGAACATGAAATTCATATACAATATGGAATAATATTTATATAAAAAACCGAAGGCCATTCTGTGAGTTAAAAACTGAAGAAGCCATAATGACTTGTCTCACCATACTACCGCTTTCGAATTCCGTCTCTAAATATTACATTTCAGTCACTGATACCATATTTACACAATAAAAATGGACTGCAAGCGCTTAAAACGCCATGACTTGCCCAAATGGCCACCCTAAGAAACTAGAAGCAATGAAAGCGGGCGGAGCGTTTTCGCCACGTAAATCTGAAATCCGTAATTAAAACAAAATTAAGTGCTGCGTGAAAATTTTCTCCAATGCATGAATGATTCTGTGACCACTATCGCAGTTACTGCAGACTGTTCATTAAAGATTAAAGACTGAACCTAACTTCGCGACCTGACTCTATTAAGCTTCATCACCAAGATAGGTTAACGCATTATTCGAATCTTGTACTCGCTGATTCAAGGTGAAAGACGAGTGACGTGATTGAGTTACCTTGGCCATGAATCAAGAACAATTTTTTTAAAGGCACTCAACTGAGTAGGCAACAAAAAGCACCAAAGCCGTGAGAGGCCAGCCCTGCTCACCCTGCTCACCTGTGGCAGGAGGAAGGAAGTGATGATGCGACCGCATGGCGGCAGCATGTAACGAGTTGATGTGATGACGCCCGCGCGATGACCTCGAGTTGCCGTCGATCATGCCACCTGCATCTTCATCATCGCTATCCGTGCCAAACAGTCGTTTTTGCTCGAAGCGAGACAAGTATCTGAAAGAGAAGCAAGCGGTGATCAATGAGTCGAGCATTCGTTCACATGAGCAACACCTACCGCATGTAAATCATGCGCACGGCATGGTCGGCACCCAAACAATCTCTGGGAATGTTCAGTGTCGACAACACCTCTTTCCACTGATTCTTGTTGGACACCTAAACAATTACAGCTAATGAAAGTAAACGCACAAATAAACAATGGAAATAGAGCAAAACAAAAAAAGTAGTCCAGATATTAATTTACTATGTTTGATACAACGCAGACGAATAATTTCTACGGAAGCAGAGCTTTCGCATTTCTTGGTTGTGTGGCTGGAGCATCAAATAACTTTAAAAGTACAACACGTAGTTTGTTGCTCACCAACACCAGGAGTTAAAAAAAAACGTGATGGACAAAGTCTTTAACAACGGTATAAGCCAGTTGGATGTAGGCTAACCGGATGCTTATCAGTATTTTCGTAGCATTGGAAAGTTTCGAGCGGACGTAATTTTAACCTTCATCAAGTTCCTTATGTACCCTACTGTCAGAGTTATTATACGACAGAAATACTCAACCGAAAAATGGTGGCTGAAGAGCGTTGATAATGACAGCTTCGAACCGTAATGAGAGTATGT